TGTGCATCATGCAGTCGGCGGGATGAACAGGCCAATAGGTTTGAAGACCAAGAGTAGTCAGGTGAATGAACAAAAGCGAGGGAATACAGCACCTCCAGCAACCGCGTTGAACAGCATAGCAGCATAGATGGCATCCACCCTGTGCCAGGAATGGCAGAGAAAACCCTCAATCAGGTGAAGGATGGAAGCAGAGCCGCGTATCAAAGTGTGAGCACCTTCCTCAAGAAGGACACAGCTTCGGAGAGAAGACAGCCCAGATATAGTGGCCCATTTGTCCAAGAGATTCGCAAACGGCTAGACTCCTACTTTGAGGTAACTGTCAGAAGTGTTCGGGACTCTGTGCCCAAGGCAATTGGTTTCTATTTGGTGAGGGCAGTTCAGGAGAAGCTGCAGTTTGAGCTCCTTAGTGCCTTGAACAAACCTGACAAGCTGTCAGAGATGTTGGGTGAACCGCCTCACATCATGGAGGAAAGGCGCACCTTGCACAACCAACTGCAAGTGTTGCAGAAGGCCAGCGCTGTCCTCACCAGGGACCCCACCTTGGCTGCCATAGCTTTTGAGGCTGAGGAGGAGGAGCCACTACCCCCAACCAAACCTGCACAGCCAAAGGCAACGCCCGCATATGCACAGCCAAGCCCTGCTGTGCCAGCTGTGTCTAAGGCTCCGGTGGTCTCAACCGCCACTGTGTCAGCAACACCTGCTGCGCGGCCTGCAGTCACGGCCGCGCCAAAGCCGGCCAGCGTGTTTGGAGGTACACCCGCTCCCACTGGACGCAACCCTCTCTTTGACGATGCCAAGCCTCAGCAAAAGAACCTGTTTGACTGAGGTGTATTTTCCAGGCTACATGAAGGTTGGAAAGTCAGGAAAGTGAAGGATGAGGTGGCTCGTGAATTTGCAGAGCAAATGTCACCATCAATTGTAGTGAATTGTAGTGCTCGGTTTTGCAGCGACGTGAATCGACGAAAACGTGTGGCAGTACGTTTGTTATGTTTCAGACAAGAATGCAGCACGTTGGTTGATAGGCTATCGCCCCGTGTTGAGCCACCTCTTTTTAAAGGCTCAGGCTGTTGAATTTGCTGGCTCAGGCTGTTCCAGAGCCTTGTGAGGAGGGAAGAAGTGTCGAGCCGTTCTCTCGTTTACCGTGCCGGGCCAGTTGACGCGCTTGTGGTTCGAGTGCTGGGTGTCGGGGGCCCAGCGGCGCGCACCCGCGCACCCGCGATGTCGGCCATCTACGAGAACTTACGGCAGCTGATTACTGTTGCTGCTTGCCTGCTAAGAGAGCCATGCTATGAAAGGAAAGTGCTTACAGAGTACAAGAGGTGTTTGTTTCTGGGCATCCCTAGTCTAGACTCAGTCTGGCCGGCCCAGAAGCGTTCAGGTAGATGAACTGCGGGATGTTGGCCTGCAGCACTACATCAGTCTGCCGCGCATTGCTGCAATTGGCACGCAAAGCAGTGGCGCCTCGTTGGAAGAGAGAGGGAGAGAGGTGGTTGAGTAACAATGGCAGGCCGTCCAGTGCTAGAACCTTATATAATAACATGATGCTGATATGTGACTAAGTGTTTTTAGTAGTTGCTTCTTGGACCTGCAAACCATTTTGCCTTTTGGTGTGGTCGTTTTCCATTCCAACCTGTGCCACGGGCGATTTGGCACACATTCCAACCTGTGCCACGGCCCTTTTAGATCTTCGACCTTCTTTTGGATATACCTTCGTGGTCAGCTCAGCTACCTGGCTGAGGCAAAAGCTCTTTGATCGAGTCGATCGTCGGCTTGGACTTCCTTCCCCGGGGCGGCGGAGTCGTGACGCGTCGCCCCTTGGAGTTGCGCCTCGTGCACCTGAACACCCAGGAGCCGAGCGCCGCAGCTAGTGGGGTTCTCGATCCGTGTGCTTGGTATGCTAGGCCCTACCTAGTAGATCCTAGTAGTAGTATAGTCATAGAGTCATAGTATGTCATAGTCAATGTAGTTGCCACCTTCGTCACGGGGCGAGTGGTCCTTTCGTGCTGTGGTACTTCGCATAGAACACGGACATGAGTAATTCGCTTTGTCACATGTACCGGCAAACGGTGCCAGGAGCGTGTGTTTATTTACTTTTTTTGGGGGACGGACATGACGAGCAATGCCTTCATCATGACCAACCTTGTTGTAGCAAAACACGTCGTTGCCATATCTGCACCGACAGACGCACGCACACACTGGCACCAGAGATAAAGTATGTATGAAAATTAATGCCCAAACCCTAATGAAACGAAGTCCAGGTAAAAATGCAGCAGTGAGGAACCACGAAATCTCAAAACCTCAAGATCTCAAACTTCCAAATCTGCCAGTTTCTTGAGCCTCGACGCGGCTTCAAGCTCCAAGAGCAACACTGATAGCTGTTACATGTCGCAAAGGCTGCCGCAAAGGCTGTTTGAGCGACCAACGCGGCTGGTCCAACAGCTTGAGATCCTCACAGACCCAGAAACCAATCAACGCAGTTTCCATCTGTTCTCGGCGCCGAGCCGTCGATGCGAAGCCGACGAGCCGACGCAAAACACTGGTCGGCTCGTTCAACAAACCACCTTTATTACACACCGATGGTTCCAGTGCGTCAGGAGGACTGTCAGGAGGTTCTTGTGGTTCTACGGTTCTTTCGCTACCGAGGCTTTGTTGTTGTTTGGCTCAGTTTGGCTCATAGCTATCACATGACTGGTGGGATTCCAGGGAGGCACAGAGGGCAAGCAAGGTCACTATCCGTTTTTGGCAATTTGGCTGTAGGTGCAAACTGAACACTGTCGACGAAGCAACTCCATTTCACCAACCTTTGGACAGTGTGTTGCGAACTCACGTTTCAGATTCGGTGCGTCTTCGGCTTTGGCAGGAGTATGCTGAAAATGAGGCATGGGCAGTTTTCGACAAGGCACAGTTGGACACCTGAACTGTGGAGAGTGAGCAAAGGGGAGACACAGACAGACGGGCAGGCAGACAGAGACAGAGACAGAGACAGAGACAGAGACAGTGACAGAGACAGTGACAGAGACAGACAGAGACAGTGACAGAGACGGAGAGAGAGAGAGAGAGAGAGGACACACACACACATACAACTGGACCCCTGCAGAGGGAGACAGAGTAGGCAGGACCTGGATCCTCACAGACCCAACCTAGCCAAAACCTCACACTTGAACCCTTGTTCCTAAAACATCCAAAAAGAAGGAAGACTCGGGCTTGTCAGAGTTTGTAGCAGTCCAAAAACACTCCCGCAAAACCTTGCAGACCCCTCGGAGGAATCTACTCGAACTTGCACCATGTAAACCCCAGGCCACAGTGGACTTGATGTGACTTGCCACAAGCGCATCGAACAGGTCGGCGACAAGAAGTTCACGAACTTCAATGACGTCAGGGATGAGATTGAGCGACAAACTGACCAAGTGGCTGGATCTAACAAGGGCATCGTGAATGATCCCATCATTTTGACGATCTATGCTACTGGAGCCCCAGATCTTACTCTCATTGACCTGCCGGGCATCACGCGTGTGCCAGTGAAAGGCAGTGATCAGAAGGATGATGTGGAGAAGGCTTGGCTCTTAGCCGGGTTATGCTAGGCTATGCTAGGTCAGGCGGTCCTTAACTCCAAATTGACATGTTCAATTGTAATATTGTAGTCGCAAATCTTCTTCTTTTGTGGTGGTGCTTACTCAACTTCATTGTGTACACCGCTATCCGGCAGAAGAGTTTATGCTTGAATCATGCTGTGCCTTGAGTGATCCTTGAGTGATGCCGTGCTGCAGAAACTTGATTATCTTTGAGGTGACCCGGGACATGACTCTCCACTACATCAATGATCCTCGCACCATCGTCTTGGCAGTTTTGCCCGCCAATCAGGACATGTCTGTTTCGGACTCCCTGCAACTTGCACGTCAGGTTGACCCACAAGGTTTGCGAAGCTCAGCTGAAGAGTGATATTGCATTATTGCATGCATACCAGCTGTTTTCGGGCCCCTCTCCTTTGACCCGTGCCAATTATTGTATAGTATTGGTATTGCAACTATATGATTGTATTGAATACCCTGACCTTGAATGTTTGTAGTTCTTTGTCGGCTTTATTCTACCGTTTATCCATCTAAAATATGGATGCCTTTGGCTAGGGGCCGGCTGACTTTCCCAATTGGACAGCCTATGGATCAAAAAGGAACAGAAGTAGAAACGAACAACATCAAGCAAAATCCTCCTCCCCTGATCCCTTCTGGTGTTTTTTTCTTTTTTTTTTCCGCCATTCATGGTTCCCTCATTGGCATCATTGTTTCAAATCGGCATCATGGTTTGCACGTCATGGCTTTGGTTTTCGTTTTGGCGGACCTTTCGCTTCGTAAAAACTGCTTTGAAGACGCAGGTGCTCTAGGCACTGCTGCTTTCTGACGCAGTTCCCCGCGCTACAGCGGAGACCTGACGCTGACCTAGATGACCCAAATCCTCAGAACACCCAGAGACTGGAACATGAAGAAAAGAATCCTTTGAAGACCTGCCCAAAACAAGTTACCTTCAAATATCTTCAACTCCAATCATCGAGACCTGGGATAGAGTTGGGATCGAATTGGCACCGACGTGATGTTCATGTTCATGTCCTTGACAAGGACCTTGATTTTCATGTCACCGTGCAGTGCAACATGTGCGAAACATAGGCATGTGTTTGCTCCGCTAGTCTAGTTTAAAAACCCCCTTGGAATCATAGGAGCCAAGGGGTAACATCGGATGCCGAGAATGCGCCAAATCGATGGAACCATTCTCACCCTCTCCGCATCAATCACTGAGGATCGATCGGTGTGATTACCAAGATTGACATCATGGATCAGGGTACAGATGCTGCTTCCATGTTGAGGGGGGACGAAGTCCCCTTGCGCCTGGGCTATGTGGGTGTCAAGATGCGAAGTCAGCAAGACATTGTCAACAAAAAGCCCGTGAAGGATTCATTGAAGGATGAGAAGGCTTGGTTTGAGAACCACCGAGTCTACAACAAGCTTCCTCCAGGATTGGTGGGCACTCCTGTCTTGATTGACAAGCTCACCCAGATTCTCTTCAAACATATTCGAAGGTTTCTGCCAGAGATCAAGAAAGAGATCAATGAAAAGCGCCGTTCAGTGCAAGATCGTTTGGACGAGCTCGGCGAGGGTGTTCCAGTCGACACTGCGGAACGGGTGCAGGTGATGTGGACTTTGGTCACGGACTACTGTGACATGTTCAAAAATACCATCCGTGCCTCAGCTGAGAAGCAATGCAACACTATGTCACTAAGTCACTAAGGTGAGGAAATCATCGAGCCGCTTATTTTTGAGATATTCATTGAACAATAGTAGAAGGTAGAGCCGCTTAGCGTTGGTGACTGTTTAGTGCATGTCCAACAAAGAAGCACCAAATTTGCATTCATGTTCTAGGTTGAAGCACAGCAAGTCCCCACTCCAAAGCACATAGAACGTAAAAGTTAGATGTATAACCCAGCAATCTTTCTCAAGACAATGCGCAAAGCACGAGACTGTCCCTCGTCATCAGCATCCAAGTTGGGTCCGGGATGCATTTTTCATAATTTTTCGCTCCCAGCTCGAGGGTTGTATTTTGAGGCTGGCATAGCGGCATAACCATCTCTTGCATGTACAGCTAGTCAGCTAGAAACGAACTAAACATGGAGCCTAAAGCCACAAAGTCTGGAAACAGGGCGTGAGTCAGACAGCATACCGAGGGCATGGCATGGTTTCCACGCAGATTTAAAGTTTGATCCGCATAGGGCTCTGAAAGCTTTAAAGGTGCTGGCACCAGCAGTAGGTAATCTGGAATTGCTTTCATGGATCCTGAAGAGCGGTAGGCTCTTGTTGATATTGCGTTCTGCACTCAAGAATGTTTCGAAGCAAAACGTAAAAGGAAGCTTGAGGTTTCCACCCGACCTGAACTACGTTTAGGGGTCAGAAGGACTGCAGCTTATTTTGTTTTTTT